AAATGACCTTCACATCCGCTTTCTGGAGAATTATAAAGTTTATACATGCTTAAGACTTTGAGATGTCCTTTGACACAGAAACGTGTTTACCTTTGTTACCTGTTAACCCGTTTTATTCCAGACTGGTAGGACTTTAGGTCCCTTATCCATTGAACAACCCTAGGGGTCATGTGGGACCACCGACTGGCCTGAGCACCAGCTGCATAATTTGCAGAGCTCAGTGCAAAGGGAAAATGCCGAGCCCCTTATTCAAAACTTCCTAGGGATTTCAAGGCGGCGACAGCAGAGCACTAACCCAAGAGTGGAGCCGTCCTGAATACGAGGTTCTGAGAGCCTCGCAGGGCAGGGCTGGCACAGCCACGCAGCCGGCCGAAGGCCCATTATCTTCAAGTTACAGAGCGGGAGACAAACCTAGAAAAGTGCGGTGGCCTCACCATGATCTCGCATCAGGACAGTGGCGGCACCAGTCTGCTCCCAGGGCCTTGTGGTCGCTGACAGTATGCCGGATCGGCTTCTCCGAGGTGAGCCAGATGCTGTGGGCACGGGTCTTCTGGTTCCGTTGGTAATTGCCGCCCCTCCACATTAGACATGGCAGTCCCACGTCCAGCCTCCACCCCTGTGGCAGGCTCGACCCACCCGAGAGGCCAGCGCCATGCTGCTCGCCTCTCCCTTGCTACTCAAGCTGACTCCATTGCGCTCTCCCAGTCATCATTCTGGTTTATTGCAACTGGTCACAGAACCTAATTCCCGCCCTGAGAGCTGGAGATAAAATATGGTTTGAAAAAAATACCATGAATTGCCTGACTAGAGATGAGTAAGAAAGAAGTTTAGGAGAGGGAAGGAGAAGACTACGGTTAGCTGGCTCTTACCCCATTTGTGAGGAAAGCCAAGTATTTCCTATCTACGTTCCACAGAACACTAACACAGCTCTTTGTAGGTAGTGTGTGCACAGCAAGCAAAGTGCCCTTTCTCCCTGAAAGGCTGGGGAGCTAAAGAAGTCCGTGCAAAGAGAATGCAGCAACTTGTAGGGAAACTCCAGTGCTGTGTGACACTATAAAGTGGGTGACGTCCAGTTCTCCCAGAATAAAACAAGGGAGGACTTTCAAGGAGAGGATGAGGATGAGCTGTGGAAGGGGCTGTCCACTATTTCAGAAACAGGGAGAGGGGATGAGGGTAGATAGAACACAGGGCCTTAAAACAAATAGAGAGGGTGAGAGAGGAAGTACAGATTGTGAAGGGTTTCCATTATTTTGCCTACTGTATCAGTCAGCAAATTGTTCTCCAAAGAAACAGAAGCAATAGGATAGATACATTTACATAGATATTTATTATAAGGAATTGGTTTACATTATTATGGAGGCTGACAAGTCCCAAGATCTGCAGAATGACTTGGCAAGTTGAGACCCAGGGGAGCTGGTGGTGTTCTGGGCTGAGTTTGAAGCCCTGGGACCCAGGGGGACCAGTGGTGTGAGCTCGAACCCAAAGGCCAGCAGGCTCAAGACGCAAGAAGAGCTGATATTTCAGTTTGAGTCTGAAGGCAAGAAAAAGCTAGTGGCCCAGTTTAAAGGCCCTCAGGTAAAGAGAACTCTCGTACTTGGGGGAAGTTCAGTTTTTTGTCCTGTTCAGGCCTCCAGTGATTGCAAGGTGCCCACCAAAATGAGGGAGGGCAATTGGCTTTACTCAAGTCAACCAATTTAAATTTTAATCTCACCCCAAAACATCCTTACAGAAACACCCAGAATAATATTTGACCAAATATCTGGGCACCCTCATGTCAATCAAGTTGACACATAAAATCAACCATTACACCTGCCCAATGTCCATTCCTTTCTATTCTAACACAATGAGTTGATTTTCCTTCACAGAAACACTCTTGTGCACTCTGTCCACATAGCTGGGCCAGGGCTAACCCAACCCCGAACTTCTAGGAATGGACAATGAGAGCACCCCAACCCCCGGGGAGAGTGAGTGACTCTGAGACAGACCAGTGAGTCTCAGATCCTGGGACTTTGGCTATAAACACATAAGAATGAAGAAAATAAAGAGAAGATAAACTTTCTGCTGGGGTTAACATGCTGGTAAGATATAGGACAGGAACTTCTGGGGACCACCATGCGGGAAGGACCTACCTTAGAATGAAGCCAACATGGAAAAACAGAGCTGAGAGAGGAAGAGAGAGAAGCTGAGTCCTGGCGACATGGTTTGAGCCCTTGACTTTTTAGTTGCAAGAGTTACCTGAGTTAGTTGCTTAAGTTCATTTTGTGCTCAAGCTGATTTAAAGTAAGTCCTTTTCTTTTGTAAGCAATGAGTCTGACAGATGCTGTGAGCATATTATGCTCAGAGAATAAGCCAAGGGAATGGGCCTCCCTTATCTAAGGAGCAGTGAGCAGGCAGCTGGCGGCTCTGCTCTCCAAATGGTCCTTTTGAACTAAGTTACAGCATTGCTGAAGGCAGATGAGCAAGCTCAACTTAGCTCCTGGGGCTGAAGCTAAATCTACCAACTACTAATGTCACACTATTAACTGGAAATGATTCTGCCCCTGAAATTCCATCACTTTGACAATAAAAATCATCTTGTGTCATTTAATATGAGTATATACAGTATACTGTGAGGGCTGGGATTGGAGAGAGCAAACTTAGAGTTTAAAATACCATTCTTATTGCTCTGAGTGATGGCAACAGAATTTGGGACCCTGTAATGGTTTCAGGAATAAGTTAGAAAGACAGGCTGAAGCTCTTGATATCAGCAAGATGGTGGAATAGGAAGCCTGAACTCTCCTTCTCCCCACAGACACAGTGATTCAACAGCATCACACGGATCAATACCCTTTGTGAGAAATCCGGAAACCAGTTAAGAGGTTCCTGCATCCTGAGCAAATGCAAATTCAGCTACATCAAAACCAGTAGGGAAAACAGAAAACCCCTCTTGCCATAATCCCCACCCCTGGTACATGCCATGAGACTAGGAGGGAACCCCCAGCTCCAAGTTTCTCCCTAAGAAGCAGAAGAGTTGGACCATATACCTAGGGTCCCACCTTCTCTGAGTGCTACCCCAGGAGCTGGCTTGTACCTAGCCTGTCTCAGAAAGCTGACAGAGCAGGGCATTTGTGAGCCCCCAGGGGTTACAGAAAGGGAAGTGGGGTGGTTTGAACTGGTGTACAGGCACTTAACCATGGTGCCCAGGCACTTAACCATGGTGCCCAGCCTGAAGAAGGAACAAGTAATAAGCCCCAGCCCCTCCCTGAGGAGTGAGAGGGTCGCATTGCACATCTAATGCCTCAGCTTCTCCTCTGCTGCCCCAGGAACTGGCTTCAGGCTCACCTGTCTCAGAGCACTGATGGGACTACCATAATGCTGGACCCTATGGGCCACAGGAACAAAGATGATCTAGCATCCAGCTAGTCACCACAGCCCCGCCTCCCAACCCAGCACAGAGCAACAGGCAAACACCCGCAGATCCCAGCTTCTGTCTGGAGAGGGAGCATTGGACAGAACGTTCAGCAATCCAAAATTTCTGTAGGCTGTCTGGAATTGGCTTTCATCTCATTTCTCTGAGTACTGACAGGACTCAGCATACACTGGATGCCTCGGGGCTGCTAAGAACATAGAAGCAGGTTTGATTAGCACAAAGGTTTGAGAGGCCCCTGGACATAGTGGTGAGGGACCTCTCCTGTACCAGTTCAGTCCATGAAGCCTGGGAGAAGTTTTATGTAAGGCATAGACACCAACACAGACAATCAAGAAAAATGGAGACATGGGAAACATGTTCCAAAAAAAGAACAAAATAAACGTTCAGAAACTGACCATTGTGAAATAGAGATATATATGACTTACCCAACTGAGCATTCAGAATAACCATGATAGTGATGTTTCTGCAGTCAGGAGAACAGTGAATGAAGAAGAGAATTTCAACAAAAATAAAATATTTTAAAAGTACCAAATAGAAATCAGAGTACAATAAATGAACTGAAAAATGTAGTAGCCAAACAAAGACACCACAAGAAAACTAAAGGCCAATATCCCTGATGAACATAAGCATAAAACTCCTGTATAAAATTAAAACCCTTGTAAAGTATTGGTGGGAGTGAAAAATGATGCAGCCACTGCAGAAAACAGTATAGAGGTTCATCAAAAAATTTAAATTGGAAATACCGTATGATCTAGCAATCCCACTTCTGGGTATTTATCCAAAAAACTGCAATCAGAATATCAAACAGATACTTGCATTTCCATGTTCACTGCAGCACTATATAGCTAAAATATAGAAACACTCTAAATATCCAAGGGTGAATAAATGAATTTCAAAACATGGTATATAGACACAATGGAATATTATTCAGCTTTATAAAAGAAGGAAATATTGCTATATATGACAATATAGGTGATAGTTCAGGACATTTATGTTAACTGAAATAAGCCAGACCCAGAAAAATAAATATTGTATGGTTCCACTTACATGAGCTGGCAAAAACAATCACATTTATAGAAGCAAAGAATAGAATGGTGGTTCCCAGTGGCTGAGGGGAGGAGGAAATGGGGAGTTTCTAATAATGGCTAGGAAACTGCAGTGATATGAGATGAATAAGGTTTAGAGATCTACACAACATTATGCCTATAGTTAACAATAAGAGTATTGCAGAATTTAAAATATGTTAGGAGGGTAGATCTCACATGATGTGTTCTTGCCACAATAAAATAAGATAAAATAGAAATTTCAACTCAGAAAAAAAAAGAAAAGCATAGGACAAGAAGGCACAGACATCAGAATTAACTCCAAACAAATCCATGTTGGTTACTAGAGTCCTCCTTTCCTTCCCTTTTACTTTTTTTTTTCCCCCACAATTTTTGACCGCTCTGCTTTCCAAGCACTAGGCCAGTCACACTGATAAGGAAAATATTCAAACAGCCATCAAGGTCAGCAAACCGCTTTTTTCCTCCAGTTGGCAAAGCACCCCCAGCTCCCTCCTCCCCTCCTCCAGGCTCCCCTTTTGCCCTGCGCATGCCAAAATATCAAAATAATACAAATTGCTCCCCTTGCTTGTGCTCAGGGCTCAGACTTTTGGGAGATTTCTCCCCTCTGGGCCCACTGATGTAAAATAAACCTCAAAACTCAAGACCTCCGAGTGCTGCTTGGTTCTTCCATCAGTGATCCAGTCCAGGCTTTCCAGTATTTTCTGTAACATTTGCTTTCCTGACAGGGAAACCCAACCTGGGCAATGGCGGAGTGGTGATGGAACAGGAGATCTCAACGGAGAAGCCACATCCTGCCTGATCCCTCAGCAGTCTCCCGCCCGGTCACCCTGGGCCAGCCCCGCTCTGCTGTTCCTGCCATACTCAAGGAGGCTTGGCAGGTGAGGACCTGGTTCCGACGTCGAATCTGGTAAGGCCCCGTGGCCCCTGACCCAACCAGTCCCACTCATTGGGGTGGAAGGGGTGCCTGATCACCTCCTGGAGACTTCTTAGAAGCCTCACAGGTAGACATTCCCTGGGGGGGAATGTTTAAACTCTGGTCTGAGGGTGCGTGAGTGAGTGTGCAGGGTGGCTGAAGTAATTCAGTCTGCACTGAATCTGTGATGCCATGGCCTGTGCTATAGAATCTGTGTGGGCCCTCACCTGCATTCACGGTTGGCCGCCACGACATATTGGTGATTCAGCTTTGACTGACCTGGCCTGGGACTTACACAGGTGCACCTTAGTCAAGGCTGACCAAAGTCTCTGTGAGGAGCGTGAACAGATGGGCATCTGACTGCTCTCCTCTCTAGAGGAGGCACCCCTTTCTTGTCTGTTGTCATGGCACCATCCACAGACACGTCATGGGATCAGGGCACAGTAAACCCACAGTCTTTGACACTATGATCAAGAATTTCAGGAAGGGATTTTCAGAAAACTATGGAGTGAAATTAACTCCTGGCAGGTTGAAAGCCCTGTGTGAATCTGAATGGCCCAACTTCAGTGTAGGGTGGCCTCTGGAAGGGTCTCTAGATGTCCCAACAGTCCATCAGGTCTGGCGGGTTGTCACTGGAGATCCAGGTCATCCTGACCAGTTTCCGTACACTGACTCCTGGTTAGGAGTTGCCCAGACCTTTCCCCTTGGGTGCAATTCACTTGCAACAGGCAGGGACAGGGTAGGGTGTTAGTTGCCACAACAAAGAAGCCTGCAAAGAATCAACAGAAGCCTGAGCCTCTGCAAATTCTTGCTGGTGACCCAGAGGAAGAGCTAATATTGCCCCACCTGATGTGCCTACAAGGCTGCCAGCACCAGCACCCCTGTCCCAGACACCCTACCGCCATCGCTTCCCTGCCAACTCCAGAACCAGTCTCCCCTGGACCAGCAGCCAGGCTGTGCCCTCAGCCGGGAGCAGGCACCCTTCAGATGCCAGTGCAAGATACACAGGAGCCTGAAAGGCATAATAAAGATGGGACCATCCAGCCCAGCCAGTCCAGGTTTTACTATCAACCCTTCTCCACAACTAACCTCCTCAATTAAAAACCCAACACCCAGTTGGAAAAAACACAAGCCCTGGTTGATCTCATGAAATCCCTCTTCCAAACCCATCGGACAACCTGGAAAGACTGCCAACAGCTTCTCTACACTCTGTTCACAATGGAAGAGAGGAGGCAGCCAGGGTCCTTGACTAGGGTGCATGGGCTGAAATTGCTGTCCCCAAGGAGCACCCCAAGTGGGACTTCACCCCTGAGGGACAGCACCAAGCCCTGTGTGAATCCGAATGGTCCACCTTCAGTGTAGGGTGGCCGATATCAGGACGCCCTCCTCCAGGGGATCAATGCCAGGTCCAAAAAGCCTATGAACATGACCAAAGTATTTTCAGTCACTCAACAACCAGGAGAGTCTCCTGAGGATTATTATGAAAGACTGTGTGAAGCTTATCTCATCTACACCCCCTTCAATCCTGAGTCACCAGGGAGCCAACAAATGGCCAACACCTCACTCATAGCTCAAGCCACCCCAGACCTCAGACAAAAGCTCCAAAATTTGAAGGCTTTGCTCAACTGATTAGAACTGACAACAAAGTATATCTAAACAGAGAAGTTCAGACTGACAGAGAGGCTTAAAGAAGAATGAAGAATAAAGGCCAGCTTCCTGGCAGCTGCCCTAAAAGAAAGAGAGATGACCAAAAGGCAGAGAAAAGCTGGCCGCAAAAGGGGGAAGCTTAGGACGCCCCTAGCCAGGGACCAGTGTGCTTACAGTGAAGAGAAGGGGCATTGGAAGAATGAATGCCCCAACTGAGGCAAAGCCCTGAAGCCCAGTCACTGCCGGGAGGAACCTCACAGGGAAAGGCTCACTGGCCTGGCAGGAACAGACTCAGACTGACAAGCACCCAGCTCTCTCATGCTCAGCCCCCATGAGCCCACGGTCAAGATGAAAGTGAGGGGACAACACATGACTTTTGTGGTTGACACAGGGGCAGAACACTCTGTGGTCACCCTCCCTGTAACTCCCTTCAGTACAAAGACTGCAACTATTCTTGGAGCTGCTGGGGCATAAGCAGTCCAGCAACACTTTTGCCAAGCCTGCCACTGTGAACTTGGAGGCCACAAAGCCTGACCTAAGTTTCTCTATCTGCCTGAGTGCCCTGTTTCCCTCTTCAGTCAAGACATACTCTCAAAACTCGGAGCCCAAATAACTTTTGAACCAACTGGACACACCAGCCTTAAACTAAACCCAGGCCAAGAAGAGCCAGAGTCCCTCGTACTGGCAATAACCACACCCAGGGAAGAGGAGTGGAGGCTATTCTGTGCCCAGATCCTCTCAAGCAGCCCACCTGAAGTCAGAGCTGCCTTCCCCTCAGTATGGGCTGAAGACAGCCCACCTGGACCTGCTCATAACCAAACCCCTGTCATTGAAGAATTGACTCCAGGGACCCAGCCACAAAGACAACGGCAGTACCCCCTCTCACAAGAGGCAAGGGCAGGCATCCAGGAACACCTGATCAGACTCGACGAGGCAGGCATTCTAACCATGTGTCAGTCGCCCTGGCTCTGGTTGGCCCCCCAAACCCAGCTCTTATTTGCCTTCAAATGGACTGAACTGGATACAGGGCAGCAGATGCAGTCAACATACATGTGCCTTCCACAAGAGTTCAAGAACTCACCCACTCTCTTTGGAGAGGCATTGGCCGCAGACCTTACCAGCTTTCCGAGAGATGCCACATGCTGCGCCTGCCTGCAGTATGTAGATGACCTCCTCCTTGCCAGTGACACCCAGAAAAAATGTGCAAAAGGCACAAAGAGCCTCCTACAAGTTCTGTCAGACTCAGGATACAGAGCCTCATAAAAAAAGGCACAAATCTGCCAGCAGCAAGTCCTGTACTTGGGCTTCCTCCTCACCCAGGAAGAAAGGGCACTAGGGCCAGAGAGGAACAAGGTCATTATCTCCTTAGCTCAGCTCCAGATGAAGAAAGGCAGACAAGAGTTCCTGGGGGCCACTGGTTTCTGCAAAATCTGGATTCCCAGATTCTCGGCAATGGCAAAATCCCCCTACAGCCTCCTGAGTGGAGGACCATACAAAGAACCCCCTGTCTAGACAGAAAAGGCAAGAGCCACCTTCCTGGAAATACAGGCTGCTTCAGAACAGGCACCAGCCCTAGGCCTGCCAGACACAAAAAGCCCTTCAGTCTCTTCATACATGAAAAAAAAGTAGCCCCCAAAATTCTCACATAAACTGTTAGGCCCTGGCAACAGCTGGTTGCATACCTGTCAGAAAGAAAAAAACTGAACCCACTTGAGGCAGAATGGCCACTCTGCCTCAGGACACTGGCAGCCACAGTTCTATTCATTAAAAAAGCAGAAAAACTTACTCTGAGAAAAAATAAAATAAATGTCAAGGTCCCCCATACTGTTGTGTCCCTCTTAAGAACACAGGGACACTGATTCCTCTCCAACTCTCAGCTGGCACAATACTAAAACTCCTTAAGGCTATCTGGCTCCCAGAAAAAGTAGCAATTCTGCATTGCAAAGAACAGCAAAAGGAAAACAACCCTTTAACACAGGGGAACCAGCTGCAGATAAGGCAGCTAAAACAACAGCCAATAAAAAACAGATAAAGCTCCTTCCCTCACCATGGCCCTAAAGCCCCCAGTGGAGGTCCCTCCACCCAAGTACACTGAAAAAGAGAAAGACTGGGCCATGGCTGAAGGAGCCACCCTAACTAAAAAAGAAAAGATGGTTGCTGCCTGACAGACACATCTTTGTCCCAACTGCAACCAAAAGGCATCTAGTCAGCAAATACCATCAGCTCACCCACCTAAGAAAAACTGCACTAGAAGCCCTCCCCAAAAAGCAATACTAACCTGCCTTTGTAGCAGATGCAGTACAGGTTTGAACTAAATCTCTCAACATTAACTGGAAACTCCACAGTGCATACAGGCCACAAAGTTCAGGGAAAGTGGAATGAATGAATTGCACCCTCAAAGGAACCCTAGCTAAGTTTTGCCAAGAAACTGGACTCCTGTGGCCCGAGCTACTGCCCCTGGCTGTCCTGCATGCTCTCTGCACACCTGGGACTCATGGTTTTTCCCCTTTTGAATTACCCTCCCCTGTGTATAGGAAGCCTCCCAGGGAACTTACACCAGATAGGAAATAAGAGAATAAGAGAACAGCTCCAAGCCTTAAGAGCCACCCTAATAAGCTGCAGCAATATATCATTGAAAGAGCCCTGATCTCCTTAGGGACCCAGTACATTCCTTCCAGGCTGGGGACTCAGTATGAGTCAAAAATTGAAAAAGGGACCCACTCAAACCTCAGTGGACTAGGCCCGCATTATCGTTCTAACTACTACTACTGCCCTCAAAGTTACAGGCATCACTCCGTGGGTCCATCATTCCATAGTGAGAAGAGCCCATACTCCAAAGATACATCAGAAGAAAGCCCAGCCAGACCTCCAGATCCTCGCCACCTCTGCATCCATCTGACAGTTACCCTCTGACTAATGAACACCTGCACGCCATGGATCCTGGCCCTCACCTGAATGAAATCTCTCATTTTGGGCATTAAACTCTCTGCTGCTCCCCTCTGACTAAACTGTTCCTCAAAAAGTTGCCCTTTCTATTGTCTATTGGGTAATTGTTGTTTTGCTATACTTACCTGTGTCTCCTAGCTAAACTCAAGTCTCAGCCTGCATTTCCAAAGTACCTCTTTATAATGTTTAACTGTACAGAAGTTATAAAGTGCATGGTCATCACCCAAGGGAGCTGCCCTCAGTGGCCCTACACCCTTAGCACCTGTCCTCTCACACTCAAATAAGCCAGCCCGAGTGTAACGCTCAGCTTCATAAAAATAAATTAGGAGTGAAAAAAACTGAGTATTTTTTGTTAAGCACAGGCTTATCAAAAGTCTGAAGGACTCATTTCAACCTGTACA